ATAATACTAGATGTTTATACAAACCATGTTAATTTGGCTTTTGAGGTTAGTCTTCAAAAAGCCGATTGCCTACCTACTAAAGAAAAAATGTTACATGGGTAGGTAGTGAAAGATTAGAACGAACAAATAACCTGCTTGGAGGAAATCTTTAGGCGGTCGGCATATTCTGGCACGTAAAGTGGAGAACAGACGTAAACTGTCGAAGTTGTTCAGTGGTTGTGAACGAAGTTGCAGCGATTAGGTTCGTTATCTAAGTACAGAGTTAGATTACTTTATACTTTGTGTGCCGCGCCGCCTCGCAGTAATGCAATACTAAACTCTATTCATCGGGAGATAATGAGAAATGTTCACAGTAACCACGTATAGTTCGTGACTAATGTTACACATTGTTGTGGTTACTTGAAGTTATGATAGCTCGGATATTATGACGATCTTCCTTTTAAATAAAGTGGTCTAAAGTAATCAATTGAAACATTTATTTGCTTAAAAATACCTCAAGAAAAGAGTAAGATATTATACAACTATAATTAATAAACGATGAACTTTAACTTTTGTTTGTCTTTTCCTTAAACGTAACAATTTATTTTTAAATAAAATATACTAAGAATTTTGACTTTAGTATTTTACAATTGAGGTTGTTTTGTTGACATCAAGTAATGGTTTTGAAATTGGAATTACATCATGGCGGTTCGGTTTTTCTGACATTATTAGCACTTTGTACAGGCGGCTTAACGTATTTGATCCAAATTAACACGTTTCAAAGGATCACGTTTTTCTACAGATTCAGGGCAATTTATTGTAATAATAAATAATATCAAAAAAGATAAATTTAACTCAAGCACTATAATGTTGAACTAGACTGAAACAATTCAAAAGTGTTTTTTTATTAAATAAAAAATGGCATTATGCCAGCCTATAAATTTCTGCAATAAAATATCAATTCTCATATAAAAGATCAATTTAAAACTAAGAGATACATCTTTACTTATTTTATTATAAAATTAAGTTTTATTTGTTAACTTTATTCATTTTTCTGTTATGTGATTTTTTTATATTAAAAACAATAACGAAATATCAAAACTTTTTAAACGGTTTGCGTTCTGTGCGTCGAAGCCGAAGTTTATATATTCTTATTTGTATAAACGGATAAAAATAAAAGTCAAGGAGATCGTCGGTTTACATCGGAACCAATTATAAAAATACAATAAGGGAAGCAGAGATCTTCGTTCGAAATAAATATATTCGTTCGAAAATGTAATGGTATTAAGAGTAACAGTATTTGTTATAGTAACACTATAATATGTTAGTTTTTTTTTATTTTATCTTTTGTTTTTTATTATGTTTTTTTTTTTAATTTTACTCTTTGTTTATTGATCAAAATAGCAGATAATATTTTTTAAGGCGTTTCTAATTATAAAATCTAAATAAAGGAAATCCGTTAATCTTTACAAGAAGAAAATACTTTACAATTCTACATCTTAATACATAAAGTGTTAAAAGTCTTACAGATGGTGTAATAAACATATCGATTTTTGGCAGATCTACAACAATCAAGTGAATAAGGGATTATAAAGATGTGTGTATATGTACTGCGTTTGCCAACTGTTAAACGTCTGTCAAACACGTGATCTCATAGTAAACAATTAACTTTCTTGGAAACATTCTTTTTTTTTAAAACAACAAATCTCATTTGTTTTTCTTTCCTAAAATTTATCATTTTCCTTTTGTTTATTTTCTTATATCTGTATGTAATTTGTTAATCGCAGATGAAAATCCGATCTTATAGGCAAGAGCACGAAACATCAGCAATGTGATTTCTGTCGGATACAAGCTGTCGCTTGCGACTCCGCCCGCACCGATTTAAAAAACATTTAGTAGTCTATGTGTTCTTACAGACTATGTTTTATATGTATGCCCAATTTCATCGAGATCCATGCAGCTCTTCGGGAGATACATCCATCCATCCATCCAACTAAACATTCGCATTTATATTAGGAAGATTTTTTGTAAAGTTACTTATTCATCACTTGTTGCCATTTCATTAATTCTGCTGCTGAAATTTGACAATAAATCAATGGACGTGAACATGTCACTTACCTTTTTAATATTTTCCATGCGTAAACTTAACGACTTTAATCCTTAGAAACACGTGCGCCAAAGGTAGCTGACACACAATTTATCGAAGTATAAAATTGCTAATTTTATGCGAATTAATTTAACGATAAACTATGATACTGTTTAAATAAAATCTTTGCGTCGAAATCAATGTACGCGATGTGAAGGCTGAAGATGAATAGCTTTACGTTCCTAACGTCTGCGAGGGGCGAATAATAATACAAATTTAACTTTATATCTTAAGCAATGTGTTTTATTGCCTTCGATAATAACAAATCAATTGGACGTAATCCAATCGAAAACACTTTTAACGTTAACTATCGTTAGAACAATGTGCATAATTGAAATTTTATGAAATACTAGCTGTCGCCCGTGAGTTCGTCCGGGCGGAATTAAAAAACTTAATAAATAGCCTTTTCTTCGAGATTTTGATCTAAATCTTTGCAAAATTTCAGCAAGATCCGTTGAGCCGTTTCGGAGATACCTTCAAACAAACATCCGTCCATACAAACATTCGCATTTATAATATTAGTAAGAATTTGGATGTGCCGATTTATTTTGAACGAATACTGCACATGCTGCAAACTGCAGTAATAAAGATAAAGAACTTGCATAAAGAGTCTGTTGCAACGAAAACTGGCAACGCATCAACTCGAAGTGCGTTAATGCATTTAACAACTTTGTTATGATTTCACGTTCACGTTTAATCCAAGTATTTAGGGCATTATGTCCAGAAATAATTGCGTTTTGAATCTTATAAGGATTAACTTTATTTTAAAATAAGAGTACGTTATTTTTTCCACCATATAATTTAGTAACTGTCGCCCACGACTTCGAGCGCGCGGAATTAAAAATTACATTCTTAGTAGCCATCTGTTTTTCCAGACTAAGTTCTAGATGTATTCCAAATTTCATCGAGCCTCGTTGAGCCGTTCTGAAGATACCTTCAAACAAACACCCATTCAAACAATCGCATTTATAATATTAGTAAGATAATATAACCGTGGACTTAGTTAAATCATGTTGGAATACAAATTTTGTCTAAATTAAGGTGACAAAGAAAGGATGCACCTTTGTTTGTAGCCATGTTAAGTTAATTAGATACTTGTAGCTCACCATCGGTGTTAAAAACACTTAGTCACTTTATTGTTCTGTATAAAGTGCGTAACAATGACGGTCAAGGATCGCAAGTGCGCAGGCGCACAATTTACACACAATACTCCAACCCGTCCTTGAAAATGAAAATATACGGTCGCTTCATTTATATTTAAGGTACATAAATAATAAATAAACTAGTAATTTAAATACAAATAATATTAAAGAATTAAAATGTACTGTATAAAGCGTGTCCCAAATTTCAACGATACGCCGGCACTGGTGTACAGCCAGATCGATAACTACATGAGGAAAAATACAAAAAAATATCTATTCATTCTTCTTGGATAGTCCTATCATAAATGAAAGTAGTTATTTATTGAAATAGAGCTGTATTATACAACTTTATAGTATTTTTCACTTTTAATATATTGTCATCAGCTTTCTTCGTCAATCGAATGTTCATTCAGAAAGCGATCACTAGTTCATACTCATTGTTTTGAACAGCAAAAACCGTGGTCGCCTCTACATGATTTTACTTTCAATCATATGTTATCGTGTCTTCGAATGCATTGGACTGGCTATTTCCAGACTTGACAGCTATTCTTCGTGTTATGTTGATAACCTTTTGTCCATGTTTTCTCTATTTATTCAATATTATCAGAAAACGCACGCGACCTATTTATTTCCGATATAATCAATGGCATATTGTATTATTTTGTAGATTCTTATTTTAAACATGTCGAACAGTTAATTAAAATTGCATTTCTCTAATTGTAGTTTTAAGGACTTTTAGACATTACTAGCTGTCGCACGCGACTCCGTCCGCGTGGATATATAAAAAAATTTAATGTATAGATAAATTAAATAAAAAGCAGCTCTTCAAGGCATAAATTCGAAAAAAAGAATAAATAGCATCCTATGTCCTGGCTCTAAGCTACCTCCTCACCAATTTTCAACCACTTCGGTAAAGCCGTTCTTGAGTTATAAATAGTGTAACTAACATGACTTTCTATTATATATATAGATTAGTAAGAATCCTTTGGTGCGAATGGCGAGCTTTCATTACCAAGTCAAGTGTCAGAATAATTAGTGAGGGGACATAAACGTCGACATTTTCGTAAGGCTAGTGTTGTGCCAGTACACCGGCACAGTGTCGGATTTTCTTCCTAACAGGACTTAAGAATTTTTCTAACCCATACAGGTTTTAAGTCAAGAGGTTAAATTGCTTGTTTAAATATAAATATTATGCTACGATAACGCGGTGGCTTCCTCATTGAGGTTCATTAGCATTGTGAATGTTATCTTTTAGATGATGTTAACAAAGGCTAGTCGTAAATTAATTGATTCACAGTATATTTTACTAAGCACTAAAACAAACGCGCATGGAATAAAAAAGGATGACTAAAGCTATGTACACAATAAAGTTTGCACAGGATTATTTTAATTTTCTAATAAACATAGAAATAATACATGGCAACTTTTACAACGTCATTAAATTAGAGAAAAAAATATTATACTACCGTTAAAGAATAAATATTATCATTCACCATACCTTATAGTTTATTTCTTAACTATTAATATAATTTTAATTAAATATTGTAGGGATTTTAACGATTAAATTACAATCTTAATAATGTAAAAAAAAACACAAATTCCACTTATTTTTTTATTTACTATCACAAAATAAAAGATCGTAATTCAGCTTGTATGATTTTTTTACAAATTTATCTTAAATTTAAGAAACAAGAAATTAAGACAAAGCAATTAATAAAATCCTTTAAAATAAGACTAGCATCTCTTTTCATTTTCACATAATATAATTGTTAATAAACCTAACGAAATAAATGCATTGTTTTAAACTATCGATAACTCTTTTTAATACTAAAAAATTTAGACCTACCTAATACTTACTGTAATAGGTCAAATATGTACGAAAACCACTAACGACTTCTAACCTTACTATTTATTAATACTGAAAAAAACCTTAACTTAGTAAATGCGTGTTTGATCATATCAAACGTAAGTACATTACATACATTTAGAATTTAAGTATCATTGTAACTTATATCTACGACTCGGTTGAATCGTAAATCTAAAGATTTATGCGTTACTAAGGACATGTACGTGATGCGCCTAACTTAAATCCACTAACAAACCGACATTATAATGAAGCTATTAAAATACGTTTGGCAAGAAAAATGTGTTTCTTAATACATTAAGTTTCGACGTAAACGGAGTCGGTTCGATTGTTTATTTCAATATAGTCAATAACTTCCCAGTTGTGTTCGGGTTCCTCTGGCACTTGGGGTGGCAATGCCGCTCTCGCGAGGGGCTTCCCGCCCTCGTTCAATGTGTGATAAGCTCGCATTGCTGCCTCCTGGTCATCGTCAAATGATCGCGCTCGAGCATTGAATGGACCCCCAATATCTTGACTCGGTAAATCCCAAACGTGCCACTGCGGTGTCATTTTGAAATTCTGTTAAAAACACAAGAAAATGATATTGGATTAGATATTAATATCACAATAACTTTTAATAGATTTCTATGTTTTCGTTCAAATATTTTCGTTTACATCATCTAATCGTTATTCTGATGATAGCCTATTAACTTGTTATTGACACAATTACTGAAATCAAGAAAGGCTTGTATGTTATAGTATATTATTTCAAATTATATGTCTACATATCAATTGAGAAGTGCACGTCATAACTTTATATAACCGATGCTATGTATAAATTTATATGATGTGATTCAATACGTCTGATTTAATAGTTTTCGCATAAGAACGGTTGAGGTAGGTAAAGCGCGGGTTGTACTAACTTAAAGTGTCTTTTTGTCAGCCATGTTATAAACATCACATGGCACAAATTACAAAATCGAGTCTAACAGTAATGTAACAACCAGATTTGAAGCTGAGTTTGATAATCATGTAAATAAATCGAACAATTTTATGCGACTTGAGATGCAATTGAGCAATAGTGAAAGTAAATAAATTGAACTTATATAAGTATATATAAATTACAGCAATAAACTTGATTACTTTTCGGATCATAACAAACTCGCTAGTATATATTTACTATTTAATTTATAGTACGTTTGTATGTCGTTATGTAATCCAAGAGAGGAAATAAAATATTATAGAGCCTGTGAGAATAATTACTACTTCCAGTTTCCATGTACGGTGCGAGTGTCATTGAAGCCTTGGCAGTAACCGCAAAGTGCGATCCTCCGGGGCCGGCGTCGGGCGTCAGGCGTCCTTGTCGACTTCCGACGTACGTCGACGACGCAATAACCCTACCAATCCGCTACCGACATTTCCGCCAACTAAGTTATTGCTCAAGTTAAAGTTAACGCAACGTGTATTAAATGCGTTAATTTCGTTAACCCTATGAGAAGGTGATCGAGACGAGATTTTAAAAATTCAGATTCCTATTTGTTTTTAAATTATTGAAAAACCAAGACTTGTTTTAATATGCATTCGCCTTACTACGATTAAAAAGTTTAACACAAAAATCACTGAACGTTAATTGGTACAGTTTTCACCAAGTGTCGAATTATTTGCGTTGAACTCTTTTCTATGCATACATAAAATTTCGATGTAACTTTATCACATGGCTTAAAATATCGATAGCTTACTATCATATATAAAAATACTCTATATGTGGTAAATTCTAATACAATGAATCATCATCATCATCATCATCAGCTCACTATACGTCCCCACCGAGGGGCTCGGAGCCTACCCTAAGTTAAGGGTGATTAGGCCATAGTCAACCACGCTGGCCAAGTGTGGGTTGGTTGACTTCACACATATCTTTGAATTTCTTCT